AGGGATTTCGATTGATCGGCTTCAAACTCGGTCAGTCTGTTCATAAGGCATGTCCCATTGAAAGTTATCAAACTGTGAGTTTTTGAGTATGCTGAAGGGGGGTTAGCAGGGGTCAAGTTCACCTACTCGCCATAAAAACAAACTGCTATATCTCCTACACAGAAACTCACAGAGGAACCAGAGTTACTGTGATTAATCATCATTGGCTGCCCTACAATCCCTATGGTCGAATGATGACATCACTTATACCACGCCCCCTGAGAACAGGAAGTGTCATGTTTTACTGAGAACGGTCGCTATCTGACCCCTTTGACCTCATCAACATGAAACTGTGCCCAGACACAGAGAACATGTTGGTGTGTTGAGGATTCCAACCCCGACCAGCTTTGATGGAGCAGGTGGGCGTGGCGGCGTGGCGAAGTGACCTGTAACGCCATCGCCATACGTTTGGCTCTCAATTCCACATTTTCAGGCCCAGCTGCTCCAAACTCACAAGGATGGATCTTCATCAACTCCCCGACAGGAATCCATCACAATATTTGGTGGGCGTGGCCTAATTTCTCTATAGCGCCCCCTAGAAAACTTTAAATGATCAGCCCCAAGCCATGCTTTAACCTACAATTACAAAACGTTGTACACATGTGTACCTTGTCAGGACTTACAAAAAAGTCTCTTGGAGCCATGGTCTAAACCCCACAGGAAGTCGGCCATTTTAGATTGAAGTTCAGATTTTGACCCCATTTTTGCCATTTACAGCCTCTGTATTTGATCGAACTCCTCCTAGGATTTCGATTGATCGGCTTCAAACTCAGTCAGTCTGTTTCATAAGGCATGTCCCATCTAAAGTTATCAAAACGGTGAGTTTTTGAGTATGCTGAAGGGGGCTTAACAGGGGTCAAAGTTCACCTACACGCCATAAAAACATAAACTGCTATATTTTCCTACACAGAAACTCACAGAGGCACCAAAGTTACTGTGATTGATCATCATCAGGTGTCCTACAATACCCTATGGTCGAATGATGACATCACTTTGGCCACGCCCCCTCAGAACAGGAAGTGTAATGTTTTACTGTTAACGGTCGCTATCTCACCCCTTTGACCTCATCAACATGAAACTGTGCCCAGACACAGAAAACATGTTGGTGTATTGAGGATTCCAACCCTAACCAGCTACGATGGAGGAGGTGGGTGTGGCGGCGTGGCGAAGTGACCTTTAACGCCATCGCCATACGTTTGGCTCTCATTTCCACATTTTCGGCCCAGCTGCTCCAAACTCACAAGGTTGGACCCTCATCCACTCCTCGACAGGAATCCATCACAATATTTGGTGGGCGTGGCCTAATTTCTCTATAGTGCCCCCTAGAAAATTTTAAATTATCAGCCCCAAGCCATGCTTTAACCTACAATTATGAAACTTTGTACACATGTGTACATTGTCAGGACTTACAAAAAAGTCTCTTGGAGCCATGGTCTAAACCCATTTCAGCCATTTTAGATTGAAGTTCAGATTTTGACCCTTTTTTGGCGTTTATAAACCATTTCAGTAATTCGCCACTTGGGGTCAGTATTGCTCCACAAATGAAACAGCAGATAAACAGGATGAAGAACAATATCAGTATTTCGCCAGTAGGTGTCAGTGTTCCTCCACCAATGACAAACAGATCCACGGGCAGATGGGCATGAAAACTTTGTGAGAGCGTTGCCGTGAAATTTCTAAAAGGATAGAAATGTCTCATATAATTTTTGTTGAATTAAATCATGCAGTAAATGTAGCGTTTTCTTACTTCTTACAAACCATTTCAGTTATTCGCCACTCTGAGTAAGTATTACTCCAACAATAAAATAGAGTGCTTTAGAAACACAGCTGAAGATGATGAACAATGACGAACTGCAGTACTTCGCCATGTGCATATGATCGGCTGTAAATGACACGTGGATAATCCTACTGGCGCAATATTGGATACGTATGACCTTTGTTGACCTCTAAAGAGCAAAACTGCATTTAAATGTATTTTGACTCCACTGTGCCCCCTACATTAATCCGCCAGCTATATTTCCTCACTAAACCAATGAATCTATACCACATTTTTTTGCATCGTGAAGGATAGCCGCCGAACGCATAGATGCGTACCGCCTGGTGGACGGGCGTGGAAACTGCGCAACAACTTCTGTGTTAGCACGTGGCCAGCGTTGATGGAAACTGAGCAACAGCTTCCGTGGTGCAGGCGGAGGCGCTAAAAACTGCGTGACAGCTTCTGTGGTGGCTGGCGTGAGGCGGAGGTTGCTCGTACCCCGCGGTGGCAATAGGCCGGAGCGGCGCTTGGCTGCGAGGGCCGTTCGCTGCTTGCAGCTTTAATTATTATTATTCTTCCACCCAAATGAATTGGCTTTTTGGGGGCTTTATCATATTCAAAAACTCACCAAACTTGGCGGAGGGCTTAAGCCTGTTTAAAATTTACGTATTTTAAAGTCGTCGTAAAAATTGCAACAGAAATGGCTCTACGGCGCCACCTAGAAATTGTAAAAACACCCTTTTTACCCTCTGCTATTCACTTACTTCATCGTACAGACATAAAATTTGGTACACTTGTAGAGCTCCCCAAGACGCTCAAAATTTACAATCAATGTCATAGTGCAAGTATCACAGGAAGTCAGCCATTTTTGATTGAAGTTCCCATTTTGACCCCATTTTTGCCGATTTTTGCCTTTTACAGCCTTTGTATTTGATCTATCTCCTCCTAGGGATTTTTATTGATCGACTTCAAACTTGGTCTGTTCATAAGGCATGTCCCATCTAAAGTTATCTAAACGGTGAGTTTTTGAGTATGCTGAAGGGGGGTTAGCAGGGGTCAAAGTTCACCTACTCGCCATAAATAAATAAACTGCTATATCTCCTACACAGAAACTCACAGAAGCATCAAAGTTTCTGTGATTGATCATCATCGGTGTCCTACAATACCCTATAGTCGAATGATGACATCACTTAGGCCACGCCCCCTGAGAACAGGAAGTGTAATGTTTTACTGTGAACTGTCGCTATCTGACCCCTTTGACCTCATCAACATGAAACTGTGCCCAGACACAGAAAACATGTTGGTGTATTGAGGATTCCAACCCCGACCAGCTTCGATGGAGCAGGTGGGCGTGGTGGCGTGGCGAAGTGACCTGTAACGCCATCGCCATACGTTTGGCTCTCAATTCCACATTTTCGGGCCCAGCTGCTGCAAACTCATAAGGATGGACCCTCATCCACTCCCCAACAGGAATCCATCACAATATTTGGTGGGCGTAGCCTAATTTCTCTATAGCGCCCCTAGAAAACTTTAAATGATCAGCCCCAAGCCATGCTTTAACCTACAAATACGAAACTTTGTACACGTGTACCTTGTCAGGACGTACAAAAAAGTCTCTTGGAGCCATGGTCTAAACCCCACAGGAAATCGGCCATTTTGGATTCAAGTTCGGTTTTTGACCCCATTTTTGCCGTTTACAGCCTTCATATTTGATCTATCTCCTCCTAGGGATTTCGATTGATCGGCTTCAAACTCGGTCAGTCTGTTCATAAGGCATGTCTCATCTAAACTTATCTAAACGGTGAGTTTTTGAGTATGCTGAAGGGGGGTTAGCAGGGGTCAAAGTTCACCTACTCGCCGTAAAAAAATAACTGTTATATCTCCTACACAGAAACTCACACAGGTACCAAAATTACTGTTGTTGATCATCATCGGGTCTACTACAATACCCTATGGTCGAATGATGACATGGCTTATCACGCCCCCTGTTCTCAGGGGGCGTGATAAGCCACGCCCCCTGAGAACAGGAAGTGTAATGTTTTACTGTTAAAGGTCGCTATCTCACCCCTTTGACCTCATCAACATGAAACTGTGCCCAGACACAGAAGACATGTTGGTGTGTTGAGGATTCTAATCCCGACCAGCTACAATGGAGCAGGTGGGCGTGGCGGCGTGGCGAAGTGACCTGTAACGCCATCGCCATACGTTTGGCTCTCAATTCCACATTTTCGGGCCCAGCTGCTCCAAACTCACAAGGATGGATCCTAATACACTCCCTTACAGGAATCCATCACAATATTTGGTGGGCGTGGCATAATTTTTCTATAGCGCCCCCTAGAAAACAGCAACCCATGAAATACAGGTTATGTTATGTTATTAATTATTGAAATATACAGTATTATAAGTTTTTTATATATATAAGTTTATTTTGTGGGTGAGAGTACAAATATTAATTAATTTTAGCTAGAAATAAAAGAAAACGTAATTCAGCAAAACTGTTTATAAACCATTTCAGTAATTCGCCCCTTGGGGTCAGTCTTACTCCACGAATGAAACAGCAGACAAACAGGATGAAGAACAATACCAGTATTGCGCCAGCAGGAGTCAGTGTTACTCCACCAATGACAAACAAATCGACGGCAGATGGCCACGAAAACATTGCGAGCACGTCTGCCGTGAGATTTCCAAAAGGAAAGCTGTTACATTTAACCTGAAATGTTATATGTAATCCCTCAGATAATTTTTGTTGGCTTAAAACACGGAGTAAATGTAGCGTTTTGTTAATAACTGTTATTTACTACCGTAAGTAAATGCATCAATTCCAGTCGTCTCTGCCTTACTGGTCAGTCAAGTGTAAAATCAAATTTAAGCAATTTGATTGGTTGTGATGGACTGCACTGTACTGTAGCTTTGCTAATACGTACTGGCAGTCGGCCGGCGGCCGTTCATGGTCGAGGTTCGGTGTGTTCCGCTGTGGACTGTACATTTTGGAGCGACAGAAACGGACTACGCTCAACATTTTGCTTGGGTTTTGGAACAGCAAATCCGAACCACGCTCGTGAGAAAGAACGCTCTATTGGACCGGAGTTGGAGCAGTTTTATAGCCTCTCTGCACCTCAGCTTCCACGTTCGGGTAAAACGGCTGAAATGTTTTTCCAAGGTAACAGTTAATAATGTACGTCGATCCGAAGCCCCAACAAGTAAGCCGAAGAAAGGTTTTAAGATGTTCGCCTCGTTATACATTCACAGATATGAAGGTGAGTTTTACTTTCTTTAAACTTTGTGGCTAACTTTAGCTTTAGCTTGTGCTAGCAGGCATTATTCTCGGACATTTTTCTTGCAAAAATCTGCTATTTAATTATCTAAACATTTCTCAGCGATTCTAACGGACAATGTTTGTGCCTTATTTTCAACCATATTACGTGTGTTTATTGTTAACGATAATAAACGCGGTGGGGGGGACAGATTACAGTTCAGACTTTTTGCTTCAGAATCCTGACGAAGTACAACGAGCTCAGAGCTCAACAATAGAGCAGCTCTTGTATCTGAGTTCTAGTTCAGCTGACTGTTCAGGTTCATATTAATTACTTTTAGAAAAATATGGCCGTGTTGCTTAAGGTTTTTGTTATTTCGTTTTATTACTTTTGCATGCTTGTTGTGAAGGGCTCATTAGGACGGTGCTTAGAGCGGTGTGTACGGTGTTAGCTTCAAGTGGTAGCTTTAACTTGTAGCAACGAATATTTACAAGCTGTCTTAATTGAGGATCGCTTGGAAATTCATAAAAACTTAAACAAAGTACATAGTATTGTTTTTTGAGTCTTAAGTACGACTTTGTCTTTTATAGCAGTCATAGTTTCTGAAAGTGGAAAAAAGAGCCGCATTCGGGTATACAGTTGTGACGTCAGCGCGGCAGGTGCAAAGAGCCCATTGCTGTTCGTTTAAACAGTCGTAACTCGCGGTGCGGTGAGTAATTTATTCCTTCCTGCTGGTTCTGGAAGCCGTCATGTTTGGAACAGTTATTCTGAGGAGGATGCTAACCCAATGCCTGAGGCCTGCAACGTTTTTAATGCTAACGAAGCGCTTTACTAATTCAATAAACTGAATAGTGTGTGTGATACATCCAGTTTCATACATTCAGACTTGTTATTATGTATAGAAGATGTTTAAAATGTCGTTTAAAAGAGCTCTGAGAAAATGCTAAGTATCTTTTTACCGACCCAATGGGGTTGTAATATTTAGTTGCAGCACTTCCTGTGATTAATACCTAATTAATGGGTGGGATTCAGCCTGTGCTGTTGTTCTAATGTGCTGAAAGTTAATGTGCATTGCCCTTGGTTTATTACTGAACAGTACGATTTATTAAACTGGTACATTTTAACCTTCACCATTTTCCTGACTCATTTCACGATAACGTTAAAGTTGCACTGCATTTAGATCTCAGTTGTAGTTCATATCAAGCATGTGGGCGTGGCTTAGTGTAAAACTTTTGATTATTTACCATGAAACATCAACATTAAATTACTTCCAAATGCAAGATCACAGCTGCATCATCACACTTCCTCTGTCTTTCTAGAGAACAGCCCTGAACACATTTCCATGGTGACTTGATGAACTTACTGTAGCCCCGCCCACTTTTAAGAGGCAGTCACATGTTTTTTCTGCTGTATATTTTACTGTTATTCTATAATTTATATGGGTTTCATCATGTGAATACTGACTAAAAACGATAACATGATGAACTCTATGAATGCTGGCTGCTGACCGAACCGCATTGGGGTGTAGAAATGACGAAATGCAGTTCTTCGCCATGTACATACGATCGGCTCTAAATGACACATGGATCATCCGACTGGCGCCAAATTGGATACGTATGACCTTTTTTGACCTCTAAAGAGCACAACAGCATTGAAATGTATTTTGACTCCACTGTGTCCCCTACATTAATCCGCCAGCTATATTTCCTCACTAAACCAATGAATCTGCACCACATTTTTTTGCGTCGTCAAGGAGCGCCGTCGAACGCATCAGTGCGTACCGCCTGGTGGACGGGCGCGGAAACTGCGCAACAACTTCTGTGTTAGAACGTGGGCAGCGTTGATGGAAACTGAGCAACAGCTTCCGCAGTGCGGGCGGAGGTGCTGAAAACTGCGTGAGAGCTTCTGTGGTGGCTGGCGTCGGTTGCTAGTACTCTGCGGTGGCCAATAGGCCGGAGCGGCGCTTGGCTGCGAGGGCCGCTCGAGGCTGCTTGCAGCTTTAATTATTTATTATCATTGTTATGATAATCAAATTAACATTTTCTTCCATTGCCAATTTATTATCAAATTTGCACAAAATCTTTTTGGACTGATGGAGGAATCCTGACAAAGAACCTGAAACAAATAAAAGAAATTAAATTTAAACCTCAGCTTCCCATGATGTTGATGATACAATAGAAAATACACAAACAGAAATGACAAAAAATGCAAACATGTAAAAATCAACAAAACAAATAAAAACAAGAACGCAAAGTGCAAAGAAAATGTACAACAATTGCTCCCATCGTATATCCTTATTTGTATTTTCCCTAATATTTGTTTTGTCTATGAGATTAAATTTATTTTCTTCCTCTATAACGATTGTTCCTCCTCCCTCTACAACGGTTTCTGTAAAATTTTGACATCCATCCATGGAAGATTCTTGCTTTCTTCTTTGGAAGTGACCACTTCCTCGACCACAGACCCAACGTCCCCAGCCGGGGACGTTGGGTCTTGTGGGAGAACCTCAGAGGACAGATCAAAAAAATAACTATCAAAGACATTGTTGTCAAAAACATTGTTTTCCACTGGGGATGGTTCAAAAAGATAAGAATCAAATACATCATATTCTGAGAAGCAAACCTCCCCAAGTGGGGAGGTTTGTTTCTCAACAAGGGACGGTTCAAAAAGAAAGGAATCGAATGCATCATAGTTGGAGACTGGGGACGGGTTAAAAAAACAGGGATCAAATTCATTGTCATCTGAGAAGCAAAACCAGGGAGGTTTGCTTCTCTACTGGGGACAGGTTAAAGAGGAATGCGTCAAATGCGTCATATTCATACGAAGTGCTCTCTTCCTCAGCAGTATTATCTTCCAAGTCTTTTCCATGGATTAGTTTGTCGAAAAGTTTTCTCATCCCAGTTGTCACTAAGTATCCAAGGCCAAAGCCAAGAGGGAGAAACATACTAACAAACATTTCTGCCATCCTGAAAGTCCTTATCAAAGCCAATGGTGAAATTTGAAGTGCTATTCGGATATGAACTGATGTCTTGAAACACGCATTCATAACCTCCGATGTTCTTTGACCTAGAACTGCATGTAATAGATGAGATCATAACTACAACTACATTTTTCTGTGGACAGCAGCTCTGCATCCTGGGATAATTACAGCCAATTTGTATCCAAGGGGTTGAGTCCAGTATGGTGTATATGGTGAGGCGGGCAGCAGCAAATTGTTTTGAAGTCTCTCAGAAAGTGGGAGCTGACACAGATTAATATGGGTCGTTGCTATGTTGTTTTGCATTGTTTTAAGATCTTGTTGTTTTTTGACTTTGAGCCCTTGTCCCTCCAAAGGTCTCTGCACAGCCCTGGAGTTTCCTGACACATGGCAGTGTGAGAACCTGAGAGACGGTTGGTCTTTCATTTGGTTTCATTTCCTCAGGACTGACTGAAGCTCAACAGGCCTGGAAACACAGACAGAAAAAAAATCCTTATTTTAAGATGTTTAAAATGTTCCAGAAAATCAGCTTCAGAAGCTTCCAACCCACCTGCTGCCAGCATTGAGCAAGCTCTGCTGCGGTGATTCATCCCAGAGGAAATCTGACGCCCCGAAAGTTTCCTCTCTGCAGCGCAACAGTTCAGCTTCAAGTCCTTGATGAGCAAAGAAAGTTGTGGCTCATCAGTTACAGCAATAATACGAAGCCGTAAAGAAAAATAAATTCAGATCTTTGGATGTTTTGATCTGTCGGAGAAAAGATTTCTGAGTGGAAATGCATTTTGAATGCAGTTTTGTGGAGGTTCACCTTCCAGCGGGATAACTGCTCTATAAATGCAGCCAGAGATGTTATTGGATGGCTTAGATACTTGGGTTGTAATGGCCTAGTCAAAGTCCATTTCTAAGATTCCTTTGCAAGACTTGAAAACTGATGCTCATCATTAAATCTGCAAAGAAAGAGCACACATTTTGAGTATTGCATCAAACTTCCCCAGAAAGTTACATAAGGTTCATGGTTGGCTGAAGAGTTGGAGTTTTCAGATTAATATTTCAGTCATTGCTAATGAAAGAACACTCACACTGATAGTCTTTCACGTTGTTTTAAAGTGTTTATAAACGCGGTATAAACACCGTTTCTCAGTTTAAATCGAGGTAATTTCAGAATTTAAACTGATGCAGTTCTCACGTTGACCAGCAGGGTGGCGGTAAAGACCCATTTCTGAGCTTCTGCTGGGATTTCGGCTGAACTGTTTGTAATTCACTGACATGTGCTGCTGATCTCAGGCTCATTTACGGCAGCCATGTGTGCTACATGAAAAGAAATCCGGCTTAACAGACAATAAATAAAAAATTACAACTTAAATTTAACGTAATCGTTTTTATTTGCAATGATTGAATAAAAATACAAAATAAAAGCGAATTAAATGTAAAAATTAATTAAGCGAGAAGGGAAGAAAGACCCTCTAAGTGCTCTGTGACTAATTGGCCTCCTCGGCTGTCAGTCACGCCTCTAACCCCGCCCACGCCGCCGACACACCCATCTCTCCACCGGCGTTTTTCATTCATTTCGTTTCCTCTGCTTTTATATCTGCGTGGGTAAAAAGGTGACGGCGGGGTGAAGAGAGCATCAGAGTATTGTGCGTGCGCGCGCCTGTGTGTGCACGTGTCTGTGCCTCCTCTTCCTCCCTCCTCCTCCTCTTCCTCCTCAGCGTGGAGGTGCGGGGCCACTACTGGCTGTGCGGCTGCGGCACTGGATGGATGTGAGGAGCATGTGTGCGGGTGAGGGAGCCTCGGGCGGAGCACACAGAGGGAAATAATTTGGATTGTATTTTTTTTTTTTAAATATATTTCGGCAGTCCGGTTGTCCGGTCACCTCCACTAGAACGAGATGTCAAACTCAAACAAAAGCAAGAAGGACAAAGAAATCCTGGCAGAATATGAGAGCCAAGTGAAAGGTGAGGTCATTTTTTCATCTTTGTTGCAGCTTTGCATGCACCTGGCTGCAGCAGTGGTGCACATGCAGGCGTGCAGGGTGTGATTTTGACACCTCACGGTGAGACGTCAGGATTGAGGGTTCATCCTGAGTGCTGCATGGCGCCTCAGGGAAGGAGGAGGAGGAAGAGATGAAGAGGTGAGTATGTCTGCTGCATGTGTGTGGTTTTCTCTGGGAATCTACCTGCAGACATGCTCAGGTGAAGTCACGCGATGACCTTTACATCAAAACCTGGCAGCTTAAATCACCTCCACCCATCATCATCATCCTCCATCTTCCTCTGCTGTGATTGAATGATTAGCTTTAATTGGAAGCAGATCGAGGGGCCACAGCGCACGGGGGGAAGCCGCCTCGGTCCAAATGTATGGATCTGCTGCTGTAACTATGTGCTTTCCAAGTCTGCCTGGCTGCTCCGGCTCCTGATTGGTCGGTGCAGAAGGTGGTGTGTAATGTATACACAGGGGGTGGCCGCCGCTCCCTCAGAGGGGAGGTGAGGTGAGGTGGAAAGGTAGAGGGGCTGATTATGCACAGTGCTGACAATACATATTGGCGCTTGGAGAGCCACTGAGCATGCTCCCGGTGGAGGCCGCGACACCGCCTCGGTCTGAATGATGGAGATGAAGATCGCGCTAATGAGAAAATGCAAATGAAGACGGAGGAGAAGATCTAAATGGAGAGTCGAAGGGAAGCTGCAGATGGTTGGGTGGATAAATGCTGAGCGAATGGTGAATGTGGCTCTGAGATGTCAAAATGACTAAAGATGCTGTAGAAGTTCAGTCCGTTTACCATTTGCTTGCCGTAGATCAAAAAAAGGGATTCATTATTACTCAAAGGTTATTTTGAGAAAATCTTTTTTTAAAATGTCTGAGTTTGTAAAGTCAAAAATTTGCAAGAACAAAACCAACTCAGTAATCAAAATGAACCAAAAAAGTAAACTCCTGTCTGCCTGCAAAACTCAATTTGGGTTTGGTTTGAATACATATGTGAAGAGCAAGCGGACCGGAGACCGCTCCAAAAGCAGGAAGTGGACTGCAGCCCAGGTCATTCTGGGTAATTAAAATAAAATCAAACAGACACGATAGCAGGAGAAATATCTTGTGGTCTTTTGAAATCTTCTATCCATTAAAATCTGACTCCTCCATTTCTGTTTCTATTTGGTGAAGAAGGGAGTTGCTTTCAAGAGTTTTCTTCAGGTTTTTGTGTCAGTTCCTTCAGTGGTTCTTGGTGCAGCGCCCCCACAGGCCAGGAGGGGAACAGGTTGCTAAAGCGTTTGGTTTGAGAAAGAGAACGAGCTGGAGATGAAGCAGGTGGTGAAGTTTTGGTCCCAAATAAAACCGAATCAATCAAACTGTCAGATGGGAAAACAGCCTTTGACCAACCTGTTCCCCTCCTGGCCTGTGGGGGCGCTGCACCAGGAACCACTGAAGGAAACGATACAAAAACATCCAAAGACACTGAATGCAACTTCCTTCTTCACCAAATGGAAACCAAGTGAAGTAGCTATAGATCCTAGCAGTTTAAGTATTTGTCTTTGACGACAATCCATTTCTTCTGCTAGCGTAGCATGTTGGTTTAGGTTGTATTTACCCAGAATGCCATACCTTGTCGTCCACTTCCTGCTTTTAGAGCGGTCTCTGAACAGAACTTGCAGGAAGAGAACATCTGATGTTTGTGACTTTAAGCTGAAGCCAATAGATTATGCAGCAGGATGATGATCCGAAACCAAAACAGAAAAAAAAAACACCAAAACCCCCAGCAGCAACAAGTGGGAGAGGGGAAAAGCCGCAGAAATTCGCTCCATACAGCTGCAGAAATCTGTTCCTTATTATTACAGACATTTTGCATCTAATTTCTAACCAAAATGGCGACTCAATCAGAAAATTCCTCATTAGATTCACAGGATTTTGATGGACATCAAATGTTTGTTTTAGAAGCTAATTAGAGAAACTTCATCAGCAGCCAATTAAAGAGGCTTACAGGAAGAGAGAGAGATGTCTGAGAGCCAAACAATTACCCCCTCTGCTTTATCAGGATATTATTTGATGTAATCGGACAAAATCCAATCAAATCTTATAGAAATGGTCTCGAGAAATTCAGTTTTTTGTTTGAGGATTATTTGTCATCTTCTGACAACAAAGTATTCCTCATTGTTATCCAGTTGTACAGTTTTCTGTAAAACTGCTATAAGATTCATGACATTCGTTTCATTTTTGAACAATTTCTGTACAAGTCAGTTTTTTTAAGGAACTGTTTCATAACTACAGTAATTAACTACATTCTGTCACCACAAACACAATCAGGGAGACTGAAATTAATCCAAACTGAATAAAGTTAAATATTTTACTGTAGGAGCTCAAATTTTACCTCTAATTTTTATATTTTTAATTGAAAAATATTTACTCTATTCCAAGAGAAATTAAATGTTGTAACTCATCTCATCCAGTCGTTGAGGATGGTGATGCTGTGGGCAGCCAGGTTCTCCAGCAGCAATCAATGTTTCAACGAATCCGTAGAGGCCTCTGACTGAAGGCGGAGCTCCGCTAATCCACCTCTTGGGCTTTTGCTGAACCTCTTAAAGTCTCAGCCTGGTCGGAAGGATGTTGGAGTAGGGGATAAGATCCTTGATCATCATGATGGATGTAAGGTTTGAACTTCCTCCTTTAGGGTCATAGTTCAGGTATGATTTGAGCTTTTGAGCTCCTAGTTATAGAAATCAATACACTGATTAGAAAGTTAAGAGCAGATCCACTAAGCTCTGATGCATATGAGAATGCAAAGTGGGGTAAGACAGCTCCGAAAGCAGGAAGTGGACTACAGCGCAGGAAATCAACCAAAACAAATGTGCTAAGCTAGCACTAGCGCTAGTGGGAGAAATGACTCCTGGTTTTGCAGTCAAAGACAAAAGGGAATCGTAATCTGATGCCCCTTTCTTAGTTACAGTTCATGAAAAGGAAGTTGCGCTCAGTATCTTCTTCAGAGGTTTTTGTGTTGTTTCCTTCCGTGGTTCATGTTGCAGCGCCCCCTCAGGCGAGGAGGGGAACAGGTTGCTCAAAGTTGGTTTGTGAAAGAAAACACTGCAAATAAAAATGCAGCAAATGTTGCAACTTTGGTCCCAAATCAAACCCAATCTACCGGACTATGAGAAAGCAACTTTAAACAAAATTAAACACAAAATTGAAAAGGTGATTAAAACTGGAAAAAAATAAAATATAATCTCATCTCCAACCAGACAGCATCTCTGCCTGGTTTTTATTCTTCGATGTTTCGCCACGCTGCGGCGCCCTGACGGCAGCTCCTCTGATCAAAGAAGCAAGTCTCGCCGTTTACGGTGCAACGAGGAGGTTTCCAGGAGGAGTGATTTCAGAGATCAAGCAAGAAAAGCACAGCGGATTTCCTCTTTTCTCCTCCAACAAGCTGTGATCCAAACCGATGAGTTTCATTGATGTAATCTCCTCCTGCTCTGAAACACTGAACCAAATTTGTGTCTTATTCACAGGAAACGAGCGAGCTTTTGTTTTAATTTCATTCATGAGGAGCTGATGGAGCTCAGTTCATTCTCATTTTCTTATCTGCAATTCTTTGTAGCTTTTTTGGCGATTAGATCCTTGTTTTTTCCTTACATCACATTTTCAGCCTAAAGCCAAATCCTGTGGCGTTTTCTGCATTGTTTCTACAGTTTCACTCCTGATGTTTAATTTGACAAACATGTTTGTCTCTGATGGGAAATTATGTAAAGTGAAGTGAAATTCTTATCGTTTTGTCTGCGCCTAAGTTTGCATTTGCAGTCTTTGATGTTGAGATTGAAATCCCAGATGAAGAGCAAACTGGGAATTCAGGGAAAATGGAAATAAAACTGAAATACATCACAGCTTGTTTCTGTTTCTGACGTTTACAAGTGAATTTGTTGCATTACAGAATACTTTTAGAGAATCTGAATGACATATTTACCAGTTTTTACAGTTTCTCATATTTAAGAAAGAATAAAAAAATCTCTTTTCAGAATGTTTTCATGTTATTTTCTCTTTGTTCCCAGTTGAAAAGTTGCAATTTTAAATAGAAAAATCAGGTTTGCTAGGCAGTAGCAAAAGTTTTCATTAGCATTTTTGATGGTTTGCATCTCTTGTAACAGTCAGTATCACAGCAGATCTGAAAATGCCTCTGATAAAAGACATTTTGTTATATTACAGTTTGATGAAGAAGCTCATGGTTGTGTGCAGAAAATATCCTTTAAAATTATAATTGTGAATTTACAAACTAACGTGAGTTGACTTTGTTGATAACAAATGTATATTTTATGTTTAAAATTAAAGCCAATTTTTAACCTTATTCCTTCATAATAAGTTGATGAGTTTTAGTCAACTGATTTCCAGCTAAACCTAAAAAAATTACTTTTTTCATGATGAAAGTAGTTGGTAATAAAAAACAAAATACAAGAAAACGACGTTTTGACTTCATTCTCAAAATAAAATAAAATTTTATTCAGATAACTTTGACAGATTTTTAGATGTTCAAAATGAAGCTGAATGTTTGGCTTTAAATGTATTCAATTGTTGCTGCAACAGAGAAATAATCAACAATGAACAGCTAGCAATGTAGCATTACTGCAAATAGCGCGAGTCTGAACAGTTTGTGTGGAGGGAAGATTCTCTCTTCACATCTATGAGATTTATAAGCTTAACTTAGAATATTTATTCAAACATTAAAACCAATAAAGACCTAAAAGTCGGTTCGGTTGGTGAGGTGTGAATGCTAAGCTAACTGTGATCTGAGTCCAGCTGAAGTGAACTGGTTCAGTTTGAATCCACATGAGAATGCCAAGTGGAACGGAGACCGCGGCAAAAGCAGGAACTGGACTACAGTGCAGGGCATTCTGGGTAAATATAATCCAAACAAATGTGTTAGCCTAGCGCTAGCAGGAGAAATGACTTGGGGTCAAAAGCAAAATCCTCCAAGCGCTAAATCTGAAGCGTCCATTTTGTATCCATTGAGTAAAAAAGGATCAGCGTCTCAGTGTTTTTAGAGGTCTTTGTGTTGTTTCCTTCAGCGGTTCTTAGTGCAGCGCCCCCAGAGGTTGGGAGGGGAACAGATTGGTTTGACTCAGAGCAGAAAAAGAACCACAGCAGCTGGAGATGAAACAAATCTTACAACTTTGGTCCAAAACCGAACCGAGTCGACTGGACTATTGGGTGGAAAAAACATTCTAAGAATTGAAAAAGCTACAAATAATTATAGATAAGAAAATCTGAATAAACTGTGTTTAATCAACTTCTCCTGAATAAAATTAAAAGTAACCATGGGTTAGTTAGCTTCCAAGCTAACAAGCCAAGTTGTGTTTGGCTCCTTTGTTCTCTTTGTCTCGATATTTATAATTAATAATCCACCAAATGCTTTAAAAAGAAACATTTTGATCAGACTGATCGGCTGTTTTAAACCTTTGGACAAATAAAACTGCTCTAAGAAATAAAACTTTCACATTTCCTTCTGCGATTTCTAGTTTCAGGAAGACATCCATTTATGATATGAAACTGTTTCAGCCTCCGATGTCCACAAGGCCGCCGTACGAGAGCGTCATGAGATGGCAGCCATTTTAATTTACTAAGCAAAGAAAGGCGGAATGATGCCAGAATCAATAAAACACTCAGAGTCGCATCCAACAAAAGAGTTTTCATAGACTCTGCAGTTTTCCACAGAGATCTGGAAGCCGTGTGCAAGTCGATGGTGCATTCGCAAGCTCCTCACCTTCCTCATCACATGGTTCACACACTGTGTGTGGTTACCAAGACAACAGGTAGTGGAGTGGATAGGCTCTCTGGGGACTGCTGTGTGTGTGTGTGTGTGTGTGTGTGTGTGTGTGTGTGTGTGTGTGTGTGTGTGTGTGTGTGTGTGTGTGTGTGAGAGAGAGAGAGAGAGAGTTCAGTGCTCCCTCTCTCTGCTTTGCTGCAGAAAGATCGAGTCCTGAAACACGGCGAAGCAGCGAAGCATGAAGCCAGGCTTTACCATGCTGACTACAAGTGTGTGTGTGTGTGTGTGTGTGTGTGTGTGTGTGTGTGTGTGTGTGTGTGTGTGTGTGTGTGTGTTTTCCTCTGCTGCCTTTTCATTTCGGTCACACGATTAAGTCCAAGGTGACTCCTGGGAGAAAAATGGACAGCCTTCATGTGTGAGGATGAGTATAGCAGGAAGAGGAAGCCAATTATGCATTTTAACAAGAAGCTTTTCAGTTTAAAATAAAATTTCAATGATTAACTATCAGCTCTGACTTCAGAAAAATCAGCTTCTCGAATGAAACTGCTGAATTGCTTCATCAGTTCAGATGAGTAAAGAAATTGAATCTGCTCTACAGATGTCCTTTGTGATCCACAGACATTTTTCCAAGCGAATGTCTGACTGGTTTCAGGGACATTTGTCACATGCAGTTTTCAACTCTTTGTTCTAAAATGTCCAGAAACGTCCCTGAAACACGTTGAGGATCAGAGCCACCGGAAATAAAATTAATTCCAACTCAAATATTCTGAGAAAATTTTTTATCTGACGACAAAACTCTGAAAGATGAGAAAAAAGACATGAAAAACTTTTCAGGAATTGCAGAAAAAAAAATCTGAGAAAAATGTTGTAATGCTGAAAAAAATTTTCAAACATTTGAGAAAACAGCAAAATTTGAAATAATAATAATAAAAAAAATCTGAATTCTGAGAAAAATTGTCTTTTTGCCTTTTAGAAATGCTCCATGAAAAAAAAAAATCTTAATTTTATGCAAATAATTTGAATAATTTTCTGTTGAAAATATGCATATAAGTGAATCTGTGAATACTATGTTCCTGTAGGACATAAAGTGTTTAATTCATCAAACTACTCAGAAAAATTACTCTTATATCTGCTGGTTGTTTATTTAATGTTTAAAAAAATACATTATTATTCAGATTTTGACATCTGTAATACATTGACACAAATAAACACAAAACAGCAAATTAACGTTTTGCAACATTTCAAAATTAACCACAAATCTAAACATTGTGCATTTAGTCCTTTTACTGGTGTTTCTAATTTTTCACCACATTAGATTAATAACAAAAACTCAGAAAAGGAAGATGAACTTTAACTTTTTGTAACTGTTGCTACCTTCATATTCTTGTTTTTTACATTTTCTCTATAAAATAAAATTGGCTACAGATAGAAAAATGTATTTCCTTTATACTTGTGTTATTAAACAGTTCAAATTATTTTGTATGTTGGGATTTTGGACGTGAAATGTGGTGCTTTAACACGGTACCAGAGTTTTCCATAGGAATGTTAGAGGGAACATAAATACTAATTACAATCTGCAGTTTTAAAAAGAGAACAAATAACTCAAAAATAATTAAATTAACTTTCGCTACCACTGTGTTATTTAAATTGGAAGCAATGAAGATTGCCTTTGTAATTTAAACCTGTTTTCATGTGTAAAGATTAGAAATCTGGGGATTAATCTGTATTTTTTCAGATTTTATGTTGAATATTTCAAGCAGACGACATGATTTCCTGCAGCTGTGTTGTGTTTATCTCCAGATTATGCTCATCATTTTGCCCCTGATGGTTTGGTTACTCACAGTTCATTGACAGAAATCTGTTCCTGATGGCCACTGATCACACTTTTACATCAGCCCATAAATTACAGCTGCGGTAAGAATGTAAATCTGTCTGTTTTTCTGTCACTCACCGCTGTGGGTTGTGTTTTGGGTTGTGCTGCAGATGTGCGGGCCCAGTTGGCGGAGCAGCAGCGCTGCCTGGAGCAGCAGACGGAGATGCGGGTGCAGCTGCTTCAGGACCTGCAGGACTTCTTCAGGAAGAAGGCCGAGATCGAAACAGAGTATTCCAGGAACCTGGAGAAGCTCGCAGAGCGCTTCATGGCCAAAACACGCAGTACAAAAGATCATCAGCAATACAAGTACGATCAAATCTGTGCTGCGACAGTCTGAAGGTTGAAAGGTCACATCTGAAATTAGCAGGAAATCATTTTGGAAAAGAAAAATAAGTGATGTGCAGATTAAAATTAAACAGTGCTGTTTTAGGCCAACAGCAGGCAGAAAGAAGGCAGTAAAGTTCAGCCAAAAAACTTTTATGATTGATCTCAGATATTTCTAGAAAACACTCAGAAATTCAGAAAATGCAATTCAGAAAATTTCCAAAAGTAATTTTTTTTTAATATTTTTGAGTTTTGAAGAAAATTTCTACTTTTTGTTTCTACCAAATTTTAACTTCTGAAACTCAGAAATATTCCTGTTTTTTCTGGACATTTTTAGATGAATTCAAAATCAATAGTTGAAACAATTTCACAGATTTCTCACAGTCTAAGGAGGGATTCATACGGCATTTACTCAAACTATGAGAATAAACAGAATACTTTTAAAGTTAAGACAAAAAAAGCTGTAAGAAGCTATAAGAAAATCTGCTTTCTCCTGTACCAGCATTTGTAGCATGTTAGCGATTTGGAGCCAACATGCTACAAAACTCCAAACATGGTTTGTTTTTGCTTCTTATTGTTCTTTATTTTTTCTTTTCTATATTTTATAATTTGCAACATTCCAAATAAAAGTCTGAATATTTATTTTAAATTGATAAAATATTAATATTCTAATTCCAGGAAGGATCAGAATCTGCTTTCTCCAGTGAACTGCTGGTACTTGTTGCTAAACCAGGTGAGCCAACATGTTTTCCTAAGGAATCTAAGAGACGCGGAGAAACGATGAATAATTTTAACCATGATTCATGTTAATATTTCCAAGGTGAGGAGGGAGAGCAAAGATCACGCCACCCTCAGTGATCTCTACCTGAACAACGTCATCAGCCGTCTGACGCACATCAGCGAGGATTCGGCTCGGCTCCTGAAAAGGGTGAGTGCTGCAGAAAAAATAATTCATTAAAATATATTTTTTAAAAACTATTTTAAAAATTTACCATTTTATTTAAAAAATAATAATAATACGCACCCGTCAGAGAAGTGTGACTGTACGACATCGTATTTGGGCCATTGCAAAAAAGGGACATTTCTGAGTTTGAGAAAACAAAAATGTTGACTTTCAAATTCAGAAAAAACTTGGACTTTTGAAATCTTTAATCTACAAATGTTTGAATTTTTTTTTTCTAATAAACTTTTGACTTCTGGAGCTCAGAAATTTCCTTTTTTTATTTCTGAAAATTCATGACAATCAAAAAAAAAGTTTTGTTTTTCAATTTATTTAACATGATTACATCTGATGTTTTGAACTAGCAGAGGACAAATAAATAATCAAACCCCATCATTTCTAACCACAGCAACTTTATGCTCACAAACATCACCAAAGGTCGCCTTGACGACAGTTTAACTTGTTGCTTGGGTCACTTTCAGAGGAGCAAATGTTTATGGTGGGAGAGCAGAAACCCACCATAAACCCACCATCTTCTGTTTTATGGGGTTTTGATGGAAGCTCAATTCTCCCACTGATGAAAAAACCCAGAGGCAAACCTGTAATATTATTATTACCGTAATAATATTAATAAAATATAATTTAATTACTAAATCATAATTATGAGATACGACTTTCATTTCTTCATCAGAGTGGCACAAATGGGCTTCCATAGATTTCCACAGGATCTTTGAGGAAAGTCAAAGCGCTCACTCCATCCTTTGCAGAAAATCATACATATTTCTATAAATATATTAAAATTTGATCATTTTCTTTTCTCCGGCTCCAGATGACCCAGCTTTTTATTTTTTCTCGATTGTTAGGTTTTTGCATCTGAAGCATGACATCCTACTAGAGCGATCGCTGCACTTCATTACCATAAATACATTTGCTTCCTTAAATAATCTGAGAGGATCTCTAAACATCTGCAGCACAAACCAGAAGCAGCATCAGATGAAGAGATGGATTTGACCGCACACAAACAAACGCATTCATAATTGAAGCTGAACTCATGCATTAAACAACCCAGCAGTTTGGGGAAGCAGTTATGTGGCAGCATCAATATTGCATTACACTAAACCGTCTTGGATCCCAGGACGGATGAATCCCGTTCCCGGTGGGCGCGGCTCGCCTGCGTCGCCATGGCCACCGGGACGGCCGGCTCTGCTGGGCGTCTGTCCGCCGGGCGGCGCTGGATGTGATGGAGATCCTGGGCTCAGAGCTGCTGGCAGTCGCTGCACTTTAGCTGGCATGAATAAAAGACGAGCCAGAAGCCAGATTAATAATGAACACGGAGAGCTAAAGTTAGCGTGCGCGTGTTTAATTTGTTAAAGTCCGCAGAAGGCCCAGAGGAGGTCTGCACACTTTACTTCTCGTTAAAATCAACTGTGTTACTGCAGTAATGACAGAAAGGACACATGTAGAGGCTGCGCTCAGAGAGGAGGAGCAGATTCACTCAGGCAGAGGCAGGGAAATATTCTGCAAGCCGCTTTCATGATATTTACAGAACTGAATACAGCCACAACATGAGGCTAAAAGCTCAGAATGTAAGCCTGAAACCTGGTTTTATAGTCTACTAATTTACAACGAAAAATTACTGGAAAAACAAGCAAACAAATAAATTAAATGTTTTTTCTCAGATTTCTGACTTCCTTCAATCTTCAATCATTAAACTCATTATACGGAAATTAAAGTTATAATTCTGAGTTAAAATGTCAAAATTATTTTTTTCCAGTTGCCTTTATTCTCTTCGGCACTTTATAACTAATCTTCTCCTAAAATATTAGATTCCTTGAAGAATTTTTACTTCAAATTTTTTAAAACAACACCTTTGTAATTCCATACAGAAAAACACAAAGCTTGCATGTTTTAATAAAAATGTTTGGTTTATTTAGCAGAATATTTCTGCCAAATATCTCAGAATGTTGAGATGACCTGAAAATAAAAATAAGGAAATTTCTGAATTTTAAGTTTACATTTTTTACGTTTGGAAGGTTTTCTGCGTTGCAAACTTAGCAATATTTTTACTTTTCTAGAAATTTTTGACTGAATTTTTTTTCTATCTACAATGGCGCTAGCACACCGTCATCGGTACAGATATAAAAATAATCATTTTATTCTTGCTTGCAATGAGATATGGATGAGCAAACATCCTGACTGACAGGTGTATTTTAGATAACTGTTGTAACAAAGCTTGTAAATTTGGTTGAAAATGTTTTGTTTGGCGTTTATCTTGATATTTTTCTCTTTTGTGTCAGAGTAAGGAAATTCTCCAGCAGCTGCAGGACGACCTGATGAAGCTTCTGAACGAGCTTTACACAGTAAATACAAACATTTTCACCGTTTTGCAGCAGAATAAACAGTTTTAATCTTCACTCTGTGGATTTAAAGTCTGTCACAGTTTTATTATGTCAAAAAACTTGATTAAAACGTTTAGTACTGTGTCCATTCGACTGAAACTGAACCAGAAGGTGCAAATTGTCTTTCTGCTGCCGTTACCAAGGTGATGAAGACGTATCACATGTACAACGCGGAGATGATCAGCGCGGAGGCCAAGCTGCGGGAGGCGGAGCGGCAGGAGGGCCGCGTGAAGGGCGTGTCCGGGACGGGCGGGGGGGGAGCCTGTGTTCGGCCTGCGGATAGAGGAGCGCCACCAGAGGCGCAACGCCGCCCGCAAGATGGAGAAGATGAGGGAGAAGGTAAGCTAACTGTTTTAGGAATCAGTGCGGAACCAGGAAAGGATTCATGCGTTTAATATTTCGTTCCTTTTGCTCTCAGAGGAAGGCCAAATACTCGGAGAACAAACTGAAGACTCTGAAAGCCAGAAATGAGTATTTCCTGACTCTGGAGGCGACCAATGCCTCCGTCTTTAAATACTACATCCACGATCTGCCCGACATCATCGACGTGAGTAAAAGACTCTGCTGCTACGCAGTTCTGACTCTGAATACAACTCAGGGTTCATTCAGGTGTTACGTCAATACCATTTTTGAGCCTTCCATCTTGTGTTGTCATCAGAGTCGACTCTGGAGACCTGATTTGATTCTTTGATGCATGTTTGAGAAATCCTTTAATCTCCATGGCAACCATTAAGGTGCAAATTCTTTGCAGGACTCTTAAAACTTCGCCTTGATTGTTTCTCAGTGCTGTGACTTAGGGTACCACTCCAGTCTGAGCCGGGCGCTGAGGACCTACCTATCCGCCGAACTGAGCCTTGAAGCCTCCAGGCGAGCGGGCCTGGAGGTGCTGGAGGGGGCTGTGGAGAACCTGGACCCGGCCCGCGACAGGCAGCGTCTGCTGGGCCTCTACCCCACTGCCTTCTGCCCACCGCAGCGCTTCGGATTCCAGGCGCACATGGGCGACACAGTGAGTTCAACCGGAAAAATAACAACAAAACTCCTGATTCATTCATTCCAGACATGTTTATCTGGTCATCTATGGAGGGCAAATCCTGACATAACTGGCGATAAACAGAAATAGCTGCTGCAGCTGTAAACCAGAGTGAATCAGGATTCTGACCTGAGGATTTGCAGTTTTTTCTTCTTGTATTGGTGACGTTTCGCTTCCTGTCAGACGACCCAGATCGCCTCCCAGCCGCAGGTCCAGGCTGAGCTGTCGCTGCGCCTCACTCAGCTTCAGACCCGCCTGGCGTCCCTGAAGATCGAGAACGAAGAGGTCAGACTCACAAACGCAACCAGATGGTCAGAGATCTCAAATCTATCTAAACACGAACAACCACCAGACAGGCTTCCCACTGACAACCAGGCATCCATTACAGTGAAGGAACTCTTCAAAGTTATTTTATAACAAGATTTATTATGGAATATATGTCGATAAAATATGTAAAGTTTCAATGAGTCATTAGATTCAGACTAAATATGTAGCTAACAAAATATTTTGTTTTTAAACTAAGTATGTAGAGCCGAATATAAATTTGATGTCAGGCTAAATAATCCAAATGTTTGCCACTATTTTTGGCTGTAACTTTAGAAATGGTTCCCCAACTACGCAGAGATGCAGTTGAACAATCCTGCAACTTTTATCCATATTAGGACATTTGACCTGCAAACACATCAGAAAATAAGTGGATTTATGTTGAGACTATGAATTCTGCAGAACATTTTTCCAGCTGTTTGCTCAAAGTGTGAAATAAAACACTAAACTGGGTGAAAACCCCTGAGATGATGCAGAAGAAGTTCTGCATCAGAACTTCTTCAGTTGTGTTAATTTATACAGATTTAATTGGGTGATAATGTAGCAGATGTAGCGTCCCAAAATAAAGCAGAGCGACTGGCTGCTGCTGCAGTCTGTGCCCCCGCTGTTGTGTAGCGGAGAGGGCAGCTGTTAACTCGGCCTGAAGGGCATAAAGATGCTGAAAGAGTTGGGATTAATGAGAAGCATCTGCACGTCTCAGCAGCTCCCAGCACACACAGCCACGCCCCGATCATCATAAAACCACTGTCACACGCTGTAAATGCAAACACACTCTGCATGTGTAAAGAATTAAATCCCCTAATTGGTTTTTATGTTTTCATTTAAGTCGTCAGACTTTGCTGTAAAGCTCTCAGTTCATCCCTTATGTTGAAATCTGTAGCAGTTTGATGGCTGAACAGCAGCAAAATGTTACTTTCTGAGATTAAATGGATTGAAAACGAGCAGAAAAAAAACTGATTAAAACCCTGAAAGTCTGGAGACAACTGAACCACTCCACAAGCCAAAACTGTTGAGTCTGGGTTGGACATCCACCGTCCAGCCGGGCAACAACCCTGAATGAATGGAAAGTGTCAGAATGGCCTAGTCAAAGTCCAACTAAAAATCTAGGCCATCAGGACTCATTTTCCGTTCAGTCAGCCCATTCTTGAGATTTTCCACATGACAAAATAGGCAGAAATTTCAACCTGCAGTTTGCACTCTGTGATTTCCTCAAGAAGGCTGAATATAAACTCACTCCACACTTTTCAGATCTTTTAATTAACAGTTTAGTGTCTCATTTTCTGGTCTATCACATAAAAACCTAGTAACACACATTAGGTTTGAGGTTGAAAGGGAAGTCAAAGTACTGCACCTTTAAATGTGTTTCCTTCAGGTGAAAAAGACGTGGGGAGCGACTCTGACCACGCTGCAGGACATGACGGTGCTGGACGACTGCGACGTGTCGCAGAGCTTCACCCACAGCCCGTCCTCCGAGTCGGTCAAGTCCAGCGTGTCGGACGGCTACCTGAACAAACCCAGCCTGGCCAAGAGACGAGCCAACCAGCAGGAGACGGAGCTTTTCTATTTCAATGTGAGGACCGGCAGCGAAGCGAAGCGAAGACTCTGCATCTCATTTACATTCACTGTAGAAACACAGCGAACAAAAACATTGTTCATTTTACAGATTATGAGTCAGACATGTTTTTTGTCTTACATCAGTCGGGATTATCATGGATTTTTAAGATTCTGAAAAAAATTGACACCTTAATGTGCTGCAAGAACACAGATGAGCGTTGAGTAGCAGGAGAACTTGCTGGAGGAACATGTTGGATTTCAGAGATTATTTGACGGCCAAAGTCACAATTCTGAGACTGAGAAAAAAAAAAGTCAAAATTCAGAAATTAAAGTCAGAATTAGGAAATGAAAGCAAGATTCGATTTGGATTTATTTATTCTGGTAGGTTAATATTTAATATTTTTGCTAGCTAAGTTAACATTTAGCTTTCTAGTTTAATATTTAACTAGAAAGCTTAATACTTTAGATACCAGGTTAATGTTTAGCTTTGAGCTAACTATTTAGGGTTGAACCAAATACAAATGGAAAGCATGGCATTGTCTTTACTATTAGGCTCAATAATCCAAATTTAAATAATGCAGTGAATCATTGTACCTGTTTTATTTCAGCAGAAACTCTGCAGATTTCTCTGGGATCAATAAAACTGTCTGTTTTTCCATCCTCAGAAGTTTCGCGAGTATTTAGAGGGAAGCAATCTCATCTCAAAACTCCAGGCCAAACATGACACATTAAAGAAAGCCTTAGCTGAGGGTAAGAACGACATCTTTCAGGGCTTACAGACCATAATCGGCAGGATTTAAATTTTAAATGTTTTCCGTTCTTCCTGTTGCAGGATATAAATCTGAATTACTGACGACCAGGTGAGGCTTTTTCTCATTTCATGCTCATTTTCTCTTCAGACTGATAACCAATCTTGCTTCTTTCGCCACTTTACTGTGAACTCTGAGAAACTCCTGTCTCTTCATTTCTTCCTCCTTTTGCTGCTCATTGTAGTCGTGGGCGGAAGAACTCCATAGCAAGCACCAGGTACACACCGGGGGTCAGGGGTCGGTCGGATTTTGCTTGTTGTCATCTGTGATTGGTTAAAACATTTGATAATTCCTCTAAAACATTAAACTTCCCATTTCAACAGTTTAATCACAATATTTCTTGTTTAGCTGACTGCTACCTAAAATAAAAATGTAAACATGAAGGACAGTGTCATCGGCATACAGATTGAAGTATGTGTTAGCATTAGCTTTGCCGCTGTGCTATGTGAAACCTTACTTTGGTTTTAAAGCTACCCAAAGCTTCCAGCACTTATGTTGTCTCAACTGAGGTAAATAAACATTAAAAAATCATGCAATTTAGGCTTTATCACCCAATTCAATCTTAAAGTATGTAAAAAAAATTAATGTAAAAGAAAAAGGTTGTAGCAAATTAAAGCATTTTAATTCTGTTTTTTACTGTGATTGAAATAATTTAATATCTACAACAGCATAACATTTTCCTTCTTCCAGCCCTATTGAACTTAGTTAGAACCTTTCTTCTCTCTCTGATTTATTCTGCAGATTAAAGAATGTGGTTGTTATGCTTTTGCTCTCTTCTTATTTAAATTCATTGAAAACAAACGTTTTTCTCTAAGTTGCTCCCTCGGTGTGTTGATAGGATTCAACTAAAGCCATACCGCTGCTAGTGGAAAGCTGCGTCCGCTACATTAATCTACACGGTACGTATGAATTTTCAGCTTGGATGTTTTTCTTTACTTAGTTGTGACTTCACTACTCAGTTTATATTAATCACTTTTTTTCTGAGTGGACTGTTGTTTTTTTTGGCCTGGAAATTTTTTATTTTTTTGGAAATGTGGAAAGTCTGTTTTTCTTATTAAAAACACATTGATGTTTGTGAACTAGGCTAAATAAAAATAATGTTTTACCTAACAATTCCCACTTTAGAAAAATTACAAATATGCATCAATGTCTTGTGCTGCACCAGCCTTTAATAATGGCCGTTGGGCCTCAGAAAACTATCCCAAGGGCCAAAAATGGCCCCCGAACAGCACTTTAAACCCCCTGCTGTTTGTATTATGGACTTACATGTGTCATGCAGCTTCCAGTCAAACCCAGATGTTTTTCTCAGGTCTTCAGCATCAGGGCATCTTCCGGGTTTCAGGCTCACAGGTCGAGGTCAACGACATCAAGAACTGCTTCGAGAGAGGTGAGAGGTCACCTGTGAGGACAGAGGGTCACATGACTGGTAAGCTGTAAAACTGTCAGGCGATAACGCCGCTTCTGCTGGTTGCCCAGGTAACGACCCGCTCATAGACGAGGAGAACAACCACGACATCAACTCTGTGGCTGGGGTGTTGAAGCTGTACTTCAGGGGTTTGGAGAACCCTCTGTTTCCAAAGGACAGGTTCAACGACCTCATTTCCTGCGTCCGTGAGTACCGACAGCGCCGCCCAAACGCGTTTACCTCCCGCCCAGATCCTCAGCTTCCCTCCACATTTCCTCCGCTTTGTTTCCCGTTTGCAGTGCCAAACAAAAGCTTTTCAAAACTGTCAGGCATTTTTCATGTCACAGTAGCTCAAAAAGTGCCGAAATACAACAAAATGCAAAACGGAAACATATTTCTATGCTTAATTATACATTCTATGACTACAAAATGTAATTATGTAGTCTTTTTTTTTCAGTGTTTTGATCTGAGGTTTTGATTGTTTCTGTTTTCATCCAACGAATACTTTCAATATACAAAAACCCCCCGTATGTGGTTGGCTTTAAAGGGGATCTATTATGAAAAATTCACATTTTGCATATTTTTCATTCTTCCATTTGGGACTCAACTACTTCCAAAAACACAAAAGCTCTAAAAATAAGAATTGGCAAGACGATAATGTTTTTTGGTGAAAGAAAAAAAACTGTTAAACCTCCAGAATGTAACATCACAGATCACCGAGCAATCCCAGAAGAGCTCCGCCTGTTGCCTAGCAACTCAAGCTCAGATCCAGCATGCTTGGTCAGCTGGTTTTACAGCTGTACAATGGCTGCTGGAAAAGACAAGTGTTTTGTTGTTGACTCACCAGCTAGAAACCTCTTGCTGCATTCTTGTTGGTTGTGCAGGAGGCTCCACTTCTGCTTTTCAAAGATGCATGTTAGTAATCATTTTTATCTGCACGTGTAAAGGTTGAGTTGGAGGGCATGGTCAGCAGCTGCTTATTTGAAGTGAGAAGAGGCCTTTTTTTTTTTTTTTTTCTAACAGTATGTATTCCTTATTTTTCTTGTACAAGCACTTTGAGTTGTCTTTGACTGAAAGGTGCTATATAAATAAAGTTGCCTTGCCTTGCCTTCAAACAGCTAAAATTTCTTCTCAGAATGATTTTGTGCAAAAAAAGGTCATGAACATATTTTATATAGCCCAGAAACTTTCCTAAACTGTTCAAGGAAGCATTATAGGTTACCTTTAAGTTGTGAATGCAGCTGTTAGCATGTTATAAATATATTTTAATCTGAAACAAATAAAATGTTGCCTGTTTTTGGCCATTCTGGGTTTCCATACATGAGGACCAGGAATAAAGCAAGTAGAGCAAAAGTTTTATCAGAGTAAAACCCATTAAGCCAGAAAACATATTGACTGAAATTAGTGTCACTGAAAGCTCAAATTTCATTTTTAAGCAAAACTGGAAGAAAATTGAGGGAGTTTAACCATCTCATGTCCATTTGTCTCTGAAGTTTGTCCCCTTAATGAAGCCTGGAAACGTCTCTCTGTTTCCTGCTGCAGGGATGGAAAACCTGTATGAGAGAGCTCAGTGCATCAGGAAGATCCTCCTGGGCGTCCCGAGGGCCACGCTGGTGGTGATGCGCTACCTGTTCGCCTTCCTCAACCAGTGAGTGTCTGCCGCCTCATTCCTCCCCTCTGAGAGCGAACACGAGCCTCTCTAGTCGTCAGTTTGGTTCTGCCGCCTCAGATAAATATAGAACGGAAGCACAGCGAGGGATGGAGAGGCAGGAAGTGTGACATGCAGGTGTGATGTTCCTGCTGCATTAATTGGGGTTTTGATGAAGAGGAAAGGCATTCAGGAGTGTGTCAGTGTGTCAACTCAAAGATATTCAAATAGACACCGCTTCACATTTAGTCATTATACATTTAAAAACCATTATCAGTCTGTTTTTGTTATTATTAGTTGGTGTCAACACTTCTGACTCAAGTGACCAAAGGTCTGTTCCAATTTATTAAGAAAAATCTTCCTCTTCGCTCCGCCAGCCTCTCCCAGTACAGCGATGAGAACATGATGGACGCGGGGAACCTGGCCATCGTGTTCGGCCCCACACTCCTGCCGACGCCCGATACGCTGGACCAGGTGGCCTGCCAGGCGCACGTCAATGAGGTCATCAAAACGGTCATCCTGCACCACGACAACATCTTTCCTGACATCAAGGAGCTTCCAGGCCCGGTTTATGAGAAGTGCATGACCGGCGACCAGTACTGGTGAGACCGGCCTCACATTTTATTTAACTTCTCCTTTTCTAGTCACATTAACCTGAAAGTAGACGAGTTCTCTAATTTCCAGTCTGATGATTAATGGATCTTGAAGGGCAATGTTATTTACAGAAACATCATAATCCATTTTATTTATGGTTTCTGCTGTGTAAGCGTGGATTTTCCCCCATTTTATTTATTGTTTTTGGCTGTTGTTTCATTTTGGGTGTTTGTAATATCTGCCAGTTCCAATTTTTCTTAAGAAAAATACGGTTTTTATTGATCTTGCATTATTGTGCCATTATCAATATATGACTAAACTGGTCTCACAGTGTTAATTTCCAATAATTAATGTTGTTTATTGCAGTATTTACTGCAACAATTTATTGTTCAGAGAAATGTATAGCTGTGACAGGCCAAGGTACGACTGCAACTTAACAAAAGGGTTTCAGATCACTAAATAGTATTTTTTTTCCTTTCAATATTTGAGATGCTGCCAAATTGGTGACGTCACATTTCCTGGTTCATCCAGTCTCATCATTTCCTCTTCACTCAACAGGCGGTTGCTAGGTAACCAAAGGGCGACTAAGCTAGGCTTTCAGAGGTTAAACGGCTAATACCTGGTTCAAAGGGCAACATTTTCAATTTTCGAAACCTGAACACACAAAGGATGATTAGAAATGCAAGATATAACATGTTTGGTCCTACAGCTTGTAGTATCGAGCCACACAGCGAACATAAGTTCCACTCACCAACGTTCAGGCGGGAACCAGAACAAACATGGCCGACTGGAAAGAAGAAACAGCGGTAGTTTGGGACACCCGACTCCCTTAAGAGCGGACCAGACACTCGAAACACCCTGCACACGCAAAGGACATGTCTTAAGTTTACATTTAGAGTAATCTCAATAATCATGGCGTCTTTAAGACTGTTGGAAAGGGGAAATTGGTTGGGACGTAAAAACCTTGTGGCGTAAACGAGGCGCTAAGCCTGCATCCCCCAGAATGCTGTGCGGTTCTGGGTCGGAGTTCAGGGAAATGTTTTAACACTCTATCAACGTATTTTCTATTACTATTAACCACGTATCTACCGCGATATACATTGTTGATGATTTATTGCCCAGCCTGACTTCATAACATATAAAATAGGACGTTTTAGTTGATGAATATGGAAACAGAGCGGGGCAGGTCCTCTGAAGTTGAGACAGAGATGTTACTTGTCAGCTGGTTTGGCAGGAGCGAGTGTTTCTCTTCCTCACCAGCCTGAGTAAATCCTGTCGGGTTGTGTGGAGCGCCTCGCCCCCTGCTGTGCTCCGTCCTCCTGCCTTTGTTCCCGCGCTGAATGGACGGTTTGTCCGCCTGCTTCGCTGCCTGATCCTCTCTCCTCTTCACCTCCTTGCAGCGAGAGTCCGTTCAGCGAGCCTGGGGCCTTGGAGGAGACCGAGCCGGACGCCGGTACCGAGACCCAGACCAGCGACGAGGGTACGCGCTGACCCCTGACCTTCGCATGCTGCGTTCCAGTTGCGTGGGAAGTTAAACCCGAAGGAACGGCGTTCTAGTTAAGAATTGGGAACTGAGATGCTTTTGAATATTTACAGCTCTTTAATCGAGGAGCGGCCATATTGAAACGCGAAACGGGCCTCATGAGTCGTCACTGGGGGTACTCAAAGTTGCTCTCAGTTTCGACTTCAGAGTTGACTTTTGTCAGTGGGAAGTCGGAATTTCCGAGTTCCGAGGACAACTGGAACGCAGCATTACACACCCATCTTTCATCTCCTCGTGGAGAGATGGTTGCCGCGGTAACGGCAGCCATGGAGACGCCGCGTTCCCGCTCGGGAGCCGTCCATCTTGTCGGAATGCCGCGGGCCTCACCTCCGTGTCTCACCCCCGTGTCTCACCCGGTGTCTCCCCAGCAGAGGGCGAGGCCGTGGAGGCGGTGGCCCGGTTCGACTACGTGGGCCGGTCCGGCCGCGAGCTGTCCTTCAAGAAGGGCGCGTCGCTGCAGCTGTTCCAGCGCGCGTCGCACGACTGGTGGGAGGGCCGGTGTAACGGCAGCCGCGGCCTGGTGCCTCATCAGTACATCGTGGTGAAGGACAGGCGAGTGAACAGTCCCAAATGGTTGGTACACCGACATCACAGTATCACTGCTGAATGACGGGTTAGAGCGCAAAACAATCATTTTACAGGTCATTTCACTTGATTGAATCATTCATTCACATTTCAAAACGCATCTCATGTTATTTCTATTATTATTAAACATTTAGAATATACATTACCTAAATGTGGAACTCATTTTTATTTCATCAATATGTGGCAACATTTATCAATAAACATTTATCAATATCAAACTGTTAAAATATGAATAAATACATTTTTATGCATTTGGTGAATCCTTATAGTTAAACATTAAACTTTTTTCACGTTGGTGTAATTTGGCAGAAAAAAATGCTTTAATTGATAAAATAATATTTAGGCACACAACCACTTTGAAGGCTTTACTTATGTCCCTGTCTACTTATGTGGGGCCAAATTTGGCCCCTGGGCCTTTATTTTGACACATCTGACCTAAAGAATACACTAAATATTGATGATTAGCATAACAAAATGAATCCGTCACATTTTATGTTTTTCTTTTTTGTCATTTTTTGTGTAGATGTAATAAATTGAGAAACCATAACGCATATTTCAACATATTAATGCAAGTTCAAAATACATCATAAACATAATATACATTCTATATTTTAGTTTTATTGAATAACTATGCTATGTAATTGTATCTTATTTTAGTTAATATACTTATGTATTTTATTCGGTTTAATTTGTTTTAATATGTTTAACCTGATATCTTTTCATTTCAATATTGAATTTATTTTTGATTAAATTAAATGTATTTTCACACCGCATCTATAAAATTTGAATTTATTTCTCCTGATGAATTTAATATTTGTGTTTTGTTTTGACTTCAGACTTAATTTCTCATTGAGTTCAGTCCATTAACTCAAATTTTTCAGTTAAATTTAATCTTTCTTTTGACTCAAATGTTTTCATATTAAAATTAAAACAACATTAATATATTTTATTTTTGTTATGTATATTATTTCAATATAATTATTTCATTTTAAATTGATTTGATTTTTTTCCTTTTTTACTTAATTTGTTTTATTTTTCTCTCTGAAGTTCCTAAATTACCTAAATAAAATTTTTGAACCAGAAATTCTGAAAAAAATAAATAAAATTTAACATTTAAATTGAATCTAAAATGTATTATTTGGCATTTTATTAAACTCACTGTTTTGTTTTTTGCAATGACGATACAGTAAGTCTATTGCTAATTAACTAATACTATTGTTTTATTATTTGTTTTATTAAAATCTTACATGTTTATTCAAAATATGGAAATAATCAAAGTTTTAAAAATCTGTTAAAAAAAATTAAAATGAATGTATTTTTTATGTTCTAATTAAGGTTTACTAGTATTAATATTATTATTGTTGAAATGCTTGCATCAAATCAGTGTTTTTTTCATGCTTTTTCCTGTTTAAAATAATTATTATTCATCAGTTTTTTGAAGTTTTTTCTTTCCAGCCTGTTTTACAATAAAACAGTGATTAGTGTGTAATTAATTGACGATCTGCTCCGATAGATTTCAGTGGATTTGTTACTAACTGGATCTTCTCCCTGTTGATTAACAGACTAATTGGGCTCAGGGAGTCTCGAGCCTCTCTGCTATTGATCACTTCATTGATGATCGGAGCGTTTTGTTGCCTCGGCAGCGATTTGTCCGACTGAGTCGTGCTCTGTGTCCTTAGGGCGGACGCCATGTCCGATACGCTGAGCCAGAAAGCCGACAGCGACGGCGGGAGCAGCAGCACTGAGGACAAGCGGTCCCGCAGCGAGCTGAGCTCCCCGACTGACATCAGACCGCCCGAGAACTTCAACAGGTCCGACACTGAAACCTGCTTCCTGTCTCACCTGTACACACCTGCAGAGCTCAGGGCGCCGCTTCCTGCCACGTTTCACAAACATAACATCGAAAAAGTGGTGGCTATAAAAACGTAGTTTTTATGTCAATTGGCTGCAAAATAAGCAGATTTGCACAATTCTGACTTCCTTTAATATGTCTTTATGCTTTATTTTTGTTCTACTTTTTGCAGAGAAGAACAAGATGAACTATTTCTGATCCGAACTCTGCTTAAGAAAGAATTATCTATGAAACAGGCCGGACGATGCGGCTTACAGATAAAAACTGATGTTTTTTCATGCAAAATGAAACTTTTTTTCTTTTTTGAAAAATAACTGACAGAATTTTATTTTACTTTTATTTTATTTTAATCTTCTCTTTTGTTAATTGGACAATGGAGTATTAGGGCCAGGCTAAAATAATTTTTAGCCAAAGCACAATCAAAACTTCAACAACCAGCAGATGTTGGGGTAACTACATGGTTAAATGAAATGGATTTAATTCTGATTTCTAATAAGGATCTCTAAAGTGGAAGGGAGATAAATAAGTCTTGGCAGAAAACTCCGCCCCCTCTTGAAAAGCCCAGAAGTGGGCGGAGTCTAGAGACAATAAGGGGCGTGGTTACGTTTGAGAACAGAACAGGAAAACAACTGTTGCCGATTTTTCCACTTCGTCGCTAAATTTAGTGTCTTTTCAGACCTTGCAGCAACTTTTCCTTCAAAAGTCGAGTGATAAATTTAGCAACGCAAGCGGGGTGACGTAAACATGAATTAACTGCAGTAGCCACTCTTCAACCCAAAGAGGGCAGCACTGAGAAGCTTTTTGGCAAAATGTGGAAGAATAAAAATTAACTTGAAAATGTCCAGATTTTCTCAGAAACAAGGAAAGAAGCAATAGAACCAGATTACCAGCAGAAATAGTCAATGTAATTAAACACTAAAGTTCTATTCACATTATTAGAAATATGAATTAAATATTGCATAAAGTGTTTATTAAAGTTATCGTCATAATGTCCTGATGACAGCCACAGGAGGAAACGAACCGACGGTCTCTTCCGCCGCCCTCTCTGTCGCTCCAACGATAACCACGGGAACAGCGGCGTGATGGAGCGGAGCTCTCCGCCCGTGACGGGTCACTTCAGCCCCAGAGATCTCCTGCTGGGGCGGGGCCAGGGCATGACCCCGCCCCTCGACAGCCCGGAGCGAAGGCGCCGCTCCGCCGCCGTCACCATGACAGTGAGCCGCCACGACTCGCTGCGGAGGCAGGAGGACACGCCCATCCGGCGCTCCAGCAGCGGGCAGCACAGCTTCAGCGACTCACTGCGATCCAGAGCGATGGACGCCGAGACGCTGGCCCAGGTACTGGTACCGCTGGTACCACCGATCCCAACGCCAACACCAACACTACATACTGGTTCCTAACCTGACAAAAGGGCAGCGTCACATTTTATTTTTCTCTTTTATTCCATGGAAAATATTTATTCTGTTTTCCAAGTCAGTGTCATTTGTTCACATTGAGTTCAATCTGTTTTCCAGCTGAACTGCCCGGCTGTCCAGCCGTTGGGTTAATCAGTGAACTTCCTGTCTGCAGGACATCGAGGAGACGGTGAGCGTCGCCCTGGGCGAGCTGCGGCAGCTGGAGCGGCAGGACCGCCGGCCCGCACCCGACGTGGTTCTGGACACGCTGGAGCAGGTGAAGAACGGCCCGGTCGCCAGCTGCTCCTCCGAGTCGCCCAGCCCCCACAGCACGCCCAGTACGCCGGGGACGCCCGGCACCCCCAGCCCGCTCAGCCCCATGAGCCCCATCAGCCCGCTGCCCGGCCCGCCCAGGGCCGCCAACCCGTCCCCCGACACTCTGGGCTCCTTCAAGCCGGTGGCGGCCGCCCGCATGGGCGCCCCGCTGCGGCCCCCCGCCCTGAGACCGAAACCCGTGGTGCCCCCCAAAAGCAGCACGCCGCCTCTGGCGCCCCCGCTGGACAAATCCTGCACCATGTGAGCCAAACCAGGCCGACCCGGGCCAAAACTGGGCCAGAAGGAGATCAGGGTACCGCTATCGATTCTAATCAACAGGAAGGTAGAAAGGGTAGGAAAGGCTTTTAATGTAGTAACAAATTATAATCTATGACATGACCTATGATATGATATGCCATGATATTTCTGTGTCGTCAGGTTGGTGTGTTCTCTCTTGGTGTGTAGGAGTTTTTTTCTCCATGTATCGAAGCATTAATCAAAGATTAGCTAAAAGAACTGCTGGTGAGGCGGAAAGTCCCGTAAAACGTAGTTTCAGTGAAGTGAATGTCGTGTCCCCAAAGACACCTGATTGGCCGCTGCATCTGCCGCCCGATTGGTCGGCTAATGGAGGACTTGGACGGTTTCCGCTGCTACGCTCAGCCTGGCGCTCGGTGACAGAAAAACCACAACTTTAATGAATGTGTTCAGCTTTTTAACGACTGTTCGGCCATCTTTACTGAATGTTCGGTGGCGGCCTTCTTGTGTTTGTAGGAGGATTCGGCTCCTCCTCAGCTTGTCCTCGTTTGTTTGAGCGAGACACTGGCTGCGTTTCCGTTGCAAACCTTTATCGATATGATACCAATATCGAAAAAACACAATTTCACAGAAAGAAACACAATTCAAGAAAATAACACAGAAATACGTTTGATAAGTCCAGTTGTTGATCACGTGATGCGATTTTCTTTCAGTTTCGTCAAACATGATAAATCATCTGAAAATCACCTCGTCCTCGTGCAGCAACTTCTGAAAAAATGTTTAAAAATTCACTTTTTATA